TGGAGGCTACTGCAATATCAGCTGGGCAGAAACAGAGGAAAGAAGAAATTGCAGAGAAATTGCTAATGGAAAAGCCACAAGAATTGGCATCGCCGCTTCCATCAGCAAATCAAGTTACAAGAAATAACCAGGCACTGAATGCTCTTGCTAGAAGTCTAAGCATGCGAACTGTCACTAGGTATCCAAACAGCATTCAGCTGTATGAACCAAGACAGCTAGCACTGGGTAGGATGCCTCTACTTCTGAGAGACACAGCATACACAGACAACGACGGAAGAGGATCCAAGAGGGATCAGTGCCCCAGTTCCCCATTTCAACCAAGAACTTTCAGCCAGATGGGATCTGTGTGCTCGGAAATGTTGGGGAATGACAACTGCAGAAGAAACTGCAGCACTTCATCTGGTATTCCTTCCTATACTGCAGCTGCAATTCATGACTCAACAAAGTTCCCGTCAAGCAGCTTGAGCATAAACAGATATAACAGAGCCAGTGAGGAGGGTAGTAGGCATTGTGCTAGTCCCATGGTTGTTAAACATAATTTGCAAAAGCAAACAAACCCATCTCAGATGCATTCTTATGCACAGCCAATACCACAGCACATACCCCAACAGACGGCTGAAATCCATGGATCCCAAGTACAGGCCACAATCAGAAATTGGAATCATCAGTATCAACTCCAAAGTCTTGCCATGGTGGTACAAAACATTGAGAGAAGAAATTCTCACAAGAAGATGCCAGCTCAGCAGAACATGGGAAAGACATCACCCAATGAACTATCCAATTATGTGGAGCTGCTTCCAAGAGAGAACAAGAATTCACGAGCTGACCAACATCACCTGACAAAAGCTAGAGGTATCCTTTTGTAACTATGGCATCACTCTTGCTTTTATTGTTTCTTTTACCAGCAATGTAGCATCAGTCTTAGACTAAGTGTGAAGAATCATGATGGGGTGCTCTGTCCATGGAATATCTTTCCTTTTCATAAAAAAAAAATAATCAGAGCATTGTTTGGTTTTACATTGGGCTGATTTTTCAAAAAAAATCTGAAGATGAATTTTCTTTTTTTGTTCAAAATTTTAAAAACCGTTAAAGAAAAATCTTTTCTACCAAAAATATTTCATCTAGTTTTCAAGTTAAATGCATGAAAAAAACTTCAATTTCCAAATACAATTTTAAACTTAATTTCAAATACTATTTTTTTTCAAATATCACATCTTTCTTATGTCCAAATGCTTACTAAGATTCCAATCACTAAAAACTCTGTCAAACAGGCTTACAAGAAACACACAGACATGCAGTGTCAGTCGACACAGGCTTACTACAAGGATTACAAAGACACGTAGTGTCAGTCGACACAGGCTTACAAGGAACACACAGACATGCAGTATCAGTTGATGTAATCACACAGCAGTTGGAACGCCTTTTTATCAGTAATAGCAAGAAAAATGCTGCTCAAGTGGAGCAAAAAGCCCTTGTTCCATACAAGGGCAGTGGCACAATTATCCCTTATGAGGGATTTGATCCTATCAAAAGACGTAAAGCACGGCCCAGAGTGGACCTTGACCCAGAGACCAACAGACTATGGAACGTCTTAATGGGAAAGGAAGAAAGTGCAGAGACAATGGACAAGGACAACGAAAAATGGTGGGAAGATGAAAGGAAAGTTGTCCGTGGACGGGTAGACTCTTTTGTCGCACGAATGCGCCTTGTTCAAGGTAATAAACAACCATTCATTTCCTCTACCACACATCTATCCTTATATTATTAGAATTGTTCTTATCGTGAATTATCAACTCCAAATAGACAAATAATTTGAAAAGCTTTGCAGGGGATAGGAGGTTCTCGCCTTGGAAGGGATCTGTAGTCGACTCAGTAATAGGAGTATTCCTCACACAGAATGTTTCAGATCATCTCTCAAGGTAATTGATGGTCAGCTACAATCAGAAGAACATAGTCAATCTAATTAAAAATAGAAGTTGAAAATTCAATAACATACCCTTTCTTGCAGCTCTGCTTTCATGTGCCTTGCAGCCAAGTTCCCCTTGCCAACAAGCACCAAGAATACCCTCTCCCAAGATGGGTGCAACATAGTAGTGGAGGAACCAGAAGTCGAAATAATAGATCCAGATGGGACTACCATATATCATAAAGCTAGACTACAGCGCAGAATGGAAAACCACACTCATACATCTAGAGCTTATTTAGTAAGTGAGCATGACAAGAGAGTTGACGAGGAAGTCATCTCATTACAAAACTCTCCTGACTCTCTCATTCTTCAAGCCAATGAAGAACTCAGGTCAAGCTCCGGATCTGACTTAGAAAGTGAAGACCGACCAAGTTCACCCAACTTGAACAAAGACAGAACTCAAGCAAGCCATTCTCCACCAACAAAGTGGACTGCTGCATTCCAGGAATATCAGAGTCACTTTATGAGGAATGGGATTTCAGAAAAGTTGCCCGTCTTTGGGAATCAGAAGATAGAAACTGTAGCAGATATGGGGCGGCATAATGAAAATCTTGATGCAGAGACATATTTACATGGCTATCCAATTAATCCGCATATTCAGGTCCAAGAGATACCAATAAGATCTGCCAGTAATTCCTGGTTGAACATGACACCAGAATTTGGAAAACATGAAACAGCATGCCATGAGAAAGAAATCGACATGAGCAAAAGCATGAAACAAATAGCAGGAAGTTCAAGTCCTTTAATAGCTCAGCGGACCACACATCCCTTTATTCATGCACCAAGGATGGGAGAGATAGGAGGTGTGGAAATGCAACCTGGCAAGGTAGATAATCAACATTCTGTAAGTTCCCATCAAAATGAGATGGCAATGGCCTCACAACTAGAAAGCTCTTGTATCCGACAATCAGTAAACCATTCAGAAGCTGTTGCTAAAGGACAAGAAGGTAATCCTGATATCCCAAAATCTTGTAGTCCTTACCTTGTAGTACATACAAGAAATTCTTGCAATATAACCAAATTCCATGCAGAAGGTCAGGCTTATCCTTCAAGCAAGCAACCCAGTATAACAGGCACCAGCATCTCAAAGACAAGAAAAAGAAAAGTTGAGGAAGGAGATAAGAAAGCTTTTGATTGGGATAGCTTGAGAAAGGAAGTCCAATCAAAGAGTGGGAAAAAAGAAAGAAGCAAGGATGCAATGGACTCATTGAACTACGAAGCAGTCAGAAGTGCAGCAGTTAAAGAAATTTCTGATGCTATTAAGGAACGAGGGATGAACAACATGCTGGCAGAGCGAATTAAGGTACCAGCACTATACATGTATCCATTAGTTACAAGGAGAAAGAGAAACTTCACAAGTAAATTCTCATAAAAACATAATTGCTTATTGTGCAGGACTTCCTCGATAGACTGGTGAGGGATCATGGAAGTATTGACCTAGAATGGTTGAGAGATGTGGCCCCAGACAAAGCGAAGTAAGTTCCTTGCAATAATACACTAAAGTTTTCTACCTTCGTGAGTTTATCTGCCCCTAAAAAAATTCCTGTCTGCAGAGAGTATCTTTTGAGTATTCGTGGACTGGGTCTGAAAAGTGTAGAATGTGTGCGGCTATTAACACTTCATAACCTTGCTTTTCCAGTAAGTTCCACCTTCAAGAATGTGCAATGATCTACTAACTTGATCTAGAACTCAAAGTTGAATTTGTCAGGTTGACACAAATGTTGGACGAATAGCTGTGAGATTAGGATGGGTTCCTCTCCAACCACTTCCTGAGTCCCTGCAGTTGCATCTTCTTGAACTGTAAGTTATTAAAGCAAAACTTCAAAATTGTCCTTTGTCTACTATATGGGTTATCATTCATGCTTCAATACAGGTATCCAATTCTGGAGTCAATTCAGAAGTATCTCTGGCCACGACTCTGCAAGCTCGATCAGAGAACACTGTACTTTCTCTAGACCTCATAATAACTTTCATTGGTTACACATGTAATTAATAAGCTAAAAGGCGCTCTAACATACCCATGGATGTACCACTAATAGGGTTATGTTTGTTGACAGGTATGAGTTGCACTACCACATGATTACCTTTGGAAAGGTAACTTTAATTGAGCTTTTCAAGTTGAATGTGCCCTCATATGACAATTTTTGTGGAAGTTTTTCTCCCTCATCAGAAGGAATGATAATTATGGCTGATTTCCAATGTTGACACAGGTTTTCTGCACCAAAAGTAAGCCTAACTGTAATGCATGCCCACTGAGAGCTGAATGCAGACACTTTGCTAGTGCTTACGCAAGGTTAGTAATCCATATCTCCTATCTTCAAATTGCTAGTGAAGCGCAGAACATAAGGTTACCTTAAGATTTTCTTATTCCTCTTTTTAGTAACTTCAAAATAAAAGAGTTGGTGTCACCTACAAAATTGGGGACGAAAGAACATAAGTTTAAAAATGCAACTCTAAGAACATAAACCATACTTGTCTAATACAAATTATAATAATGATGATACCAATGTCAGTCAAACAGTCCTTATTATTAAGTTCAAATCACAAAATAATTCAAAAATTGGCTAGTAGAGCTTGAAAACTGTTCTTCCGATGTCGCTTGCATTAGAGATGTAAAATCTGGCAATGTGTTACTTCTTTTATTACTAAGTTAATTTCTATGAAAATTGAGCAACGTTTAAAAAATTACCTGCAGTGCAAGACTTGCCCTTCCTGGCCCAGAGGAGAAGAGTATAGTGAGTTCAGCAGTTCCGATCCCTAGTGAGGGAAATGCAGCTGCCGCATTCAAGCCCATGCTATTACCCCCAGCAGCTGAAGTAAGGATGGCGTACCCATATGCTCCAATTGAAGCTGGTGACCTACCTTCTTTCCTAGAAAAGTCAATGCCAATACCTCAAGAGATGACCGACTCATTAAATAGAGAAGCAACAGTCGTTACCAACAACTGTCAACCTATTATTGAGGAGCCGAAAACACCAGAACCATTGCCAGAACTATTAGAAAGTGATATTGAGGATGGGTTTTTTGAAGATCCTGATGAAATTCCATTGATCGAACTCAACATGAAAGAGTTCACCACCAATTTGGAGACTATTTTACAAGAGCATAATAAAGAAGGCGACGTATCCAAAGCTCTGGTGGCCTTGAATCCAGAGGCAGCTTCAATTCCTACTGCCAAGCTGAAAAATGTCGGCCGCTTACGGACAGAACACCAAGTGTAAGTTCCTAATCTCTTGTTAGATGTTTACCTGTGTAAATATGTAAGAACAAGATAAGTATGCCATAAAAAGGAGTTGGGAGAATATAGCATTGTTGTAGTAGGAGTTGATTTGAATCTGAAATTGTACGTAATTAAGAAGACAATCAGCAAAGAGTGTGCAATACAGATATCTACACAAATTTGCACTGCAATGAAAAGAGAGAATTATTAGATGTAAAAAGCTGCAGTACCAGTTTGTATTGCACATACACAAAACCTCTCAATACCGTCAATTATTGAGTATTGAGTCGTCTCATTTTTTACTCAAAACTAATGATCAATACTCTACTATTGCAGTTATGAGCTCCCAGATTCCCATCAATTGTTGGAAAAGGTCAGTTGTCTATCTTCTGTTGCTCAATTATTTGGCTCTTCATAAAAATAAATTAAAGTTGGTTAGAACTAAGCTTTATTATGACTCAATAATCTTCCAATACAGTGGGATAAAAGAGAACCTGATGATCCAAGTCCGTACCTTCTGGCAATATGGACACCAGGTATGCAACTGAATTTTCTTTGAACAGTATCATCTTCTCTGGGATATCAACTAATACACACGTATCTCAGTTAGTGAATGGAGAAAACTTGTGTCCCTGATTCTCACCATAGTTCTAATCTGAAGCCAAACCATGTATTAGCAACATTTTGCTTTTGAAACCAAAATTTGCCCTAAATAGTATGGGAGGACACACTGACCAGTTTGTCTCTTTTTCCTCCCTTTTCATCACTGACTACATATAACAATATAATGGTTGCTTAGAACTCTAGTCCGCTGTAGATTATGTTGTTTTAACTTCTGTTCCTACTGCAACCAGGTGAGACTGTGAATTCAATTCAACCTCCTGAAACAAAGTGTGATCATAGTGGATTAGGAAACCTGTGCAATGAGACGACATGCTATTCGTGCAATGGCATAAGAGAGGCAAACACACAAACCGTAAGAGGCACACTACTGGTGAGTGGCCCAGGCATTCGTTGTCCTTTAAAGTCACTACTTGTAGAAGAACTATATAAGCTAGCATTGCCTTTTTCCACTGAAACCCTAGCTTATTGCAGATACCATGCCGTACAGCAATGAGAGGGAGCTTCCCACTCAACGGTACATACTTCCAGGTTAATGAGGTAAATTCAAACCTTGTCATCTGATCACAATTTTCAAGAGTCTATGTTGATGCTTCAAAACTTACAAGCGCAACCGTATGTGATCTTATACTGTGCAGGTATTTGCGGATCATAAATCCAGTCTTGATCCGATTCATGTTCCGCGAAAATTGCTATGGTCCCTATCAAAAAGGACCGTGTACTTTGGGACCTCTGTCTCAACAATTTTTAAAGGTACTAGCAAATTTTCAGGAAAAACATTGTGGTTTGATCTATGACTAAAGAATTGAGTCTAAGTTACTGACTACATAAACATTGATGTTTATCAGGCTTGTCAACAGAACAAATTCAATACTGCTTCTGGAGAGGTAAGTCTAACTTTTCTTTCTTCTCATATTTAAAAAGATACAGAAAAGGGATCTGAGTTAAATTTGTGCTACTACTAAACTGTTCAAGTAAAAGATGTGATCGAGTTACCTGATTCCTAGAGTCAGATTATGTTAAACTGTCCTTGAAAATGTCATTTTGCAGGATTTGTCTGTGTAAGGGGATTTGATCGAGAGATGAGAGCCCCCCGACCTCTCATTGCTAGACTGCACTTCCCTGCTAGTAAGATGGTCAAAAATAGAAGTGATGACAAAAAAAAGGAGGGAACAGCTGCAGAGAAGGTTGCTGGTTTCAACTCACCAATATCTGTCCATACAAAGTAGAGAAACACAAGGAGGAGTAGGATAAGAATTTGATGACTAACATAGTGATGACATTCAATAACCTCACCGGAGATGCAAATTTACAGAAGCAGAATTGAAGTCACCCTTGGCGAAAAAGGGTGTAGTGTACAATAAGCATCTCTTATTCTTTGATTTATGCTCACAAACTGAGCCATCATTGTTCAAGATTTACCAAATAGAAAACAAGGATAGATGTAGGAAAATTGAGATGTAACATTCATAGTTTGAATGTGAAAACAGTTGATGCCATTGTAGTGGAAAATCCTTTTTATTCATTCCCTGAAATGACTATTGCTTTGATTTACATGTTGACAGGCTCATTTTTATGTGGAACAAGTGGTTAACTGAAGATGCATGCTATTGAACCTTCACCTAATAACTTAATATAGATATCCTTCAGTCTAAGCAAAGGATACAAAACTAAGAAAAATTAAGATAGGAAAATGGATCACCTATCAGCAATTGGCTCTGCAAATTATTGCCAACTCTTCTCAAACTTCAGATAGCCACTTGAAGACCCAAAACCGTCTCCATGTTATCACAGTGTTTTGGAAAGTGAGAAGCAAAGCGTGCGCGATATTTAGTATAAAAATTTAAAAAAATTAAATAACTGAATAGAAGCAATATATTCTTAGATTAAAAGTGAATAGATACTCAATAATCCTCATAGTCATAACATGTAAAGCAAAAACATAATTAAATCACGAAAGAATCAGTCGCAGCAGCCTCGCAAAGAAGAAGAAGAGAACCTTAGAGCGGTGGCAGTCTGGCAGCAACCAAAAATTGAAAAAAAAAGTCGCAGAGCAGGCGCAAAGAAGAAGAGAACTTACAGCAGTAGTCGCAACCTCGCAGCAGTAAAAAAATAAATTTGAAGTCGCGAAAGTGGTATGTGAAGTCGCGCAAGGATTTCAGAAACTAAAAAAAAACTTACAGTTTTTTCTTAAAAAACCTAATTAGCGTTTTTCCAATCAAGCACGCTCTCGCTTTTCTTGCACTTTTCGCTTCTACAGTAGACGCGAGCGCTTTTTCAATGTTGCCTCGCGCAAGGATTTCAGAAACTAAAAAAAAAAACTTACAGTTTTTTCTTAAAAAACCTAATTAGCGTTTTTCCAATTAAGCACGCTCTCGCTTTTCTTGCACTTTTCGCTTCTACAGATGCGAGCGCTTTTCAATGTTACCTCGCTTCAGGAACTAAAAGCGCAGGGGCTGCACTTCGCCTCGCGCTTTAAGCGCTCTTTCCCTTGTTTTTGTAACACTCTGTTACCATGAAACTAAAAGAAAGGGTGAAATGCAAAAGGATAGTATATTAGCAAAGTTTATGCAAGTTGGTGAAAATTACAACAAACCAAGAGTAATTCCACAAGTAGGGCGTGAGAAGGGTAGAATGTCTGCAAACTTTACCTACCTTGAGAAGGTAGAATCTCTGCAAACTTTACTCCTACCTTGAGAAGGTAGAGAGGTTATTTTCAATAGACTCTTGAATGAACGAACGATTAAAAAGAGGCAGCAGCAACAAGCAAAAACAACAGCAAGAAAATAAGGTAATGAGAATAAATAATAACATGTAGTAATAAAAATCTAACGATAAGGGGAAAACAAGTATAATACTAATACTCTTGAGAATGGGAAAGAAATATGCCGCCTTCTACCTTAATATCCGATCTCTACACCCTCCTATCAAGGTCATGTCCTCAGTCAAAATTGATAGGCCAAAATGAAAGACAAGTTAAACCTACAAATAAGGAGTACCTCTCTCTCTCTTCCTTCGGAGAAACAGTATAGCAGTAAATGACACTACAAATTATATGAAATGCAATCAAATATCAGCTAGAAAAAATTTCTCTGAAAGCCATTGAACTTTTTGGAGTAAGTTAGCAACAATGCACAGCTCTCCCTGCAACCATTTGAACTTCCCAAATTCTGGAACTGATACACCATCCACCAAGTCAGAAAAATATGGTTTCATAACCTGAGCTTTCCTTAACCAGCTTACCTTACCTCATAACCTTATAGTTTTCTAGTCGACCAATGACTTCACAACACCAACCTAAATATTATTCTCCTTTTTTGGCACTTAGAAGCATAAAGTCCTTAATACAAACAAATCATTATTGAGTATTGACTTATCAGTATGCTAAAGAGGATAATCGATCCCGTTTTTAAGGAAAACAAACGTTCCCCAAGCTCTTAATTTTCTCATCTCCGCATGAGTCGAAAGGTCTTAACTTAGCTATCTCTCTAATAAGGCCCTTTTTGCAACTCAAAGTGGGATTTAGTGAATCATTTTCACTCAATTATACTTGAGATACTAACAATTAATCACTCCAACTTAGTTCAGTTAAGACAGCATTTCTAGTTATACTTTCCTTCTTTTTCTCTTTTCGAAAAAACACCTACGTGCTGGTAAATGAAAACTACCTCTGGATCAGAGTAAACAACACTGTCGAATCAGGTATCAAACACAGCCACCAGCTAAGGGGAGATCTGTTGTTTTCGTCAAATTTTCGGCTAAAAAAAAGGAGAAACGAGAACCTTAGATACGCTCACTTTGCATTTTTGTTTACGATCTCTAGATTTGGACTATTTTCAAACTATTCAAGTTAACAATAACAATGAAAGTAATCATACAGTCAATCATAGATTTAATTTGAAGAATTGTTCTAAATTTAGCCTAAATAATCAACTATAACATTTAAATTTGACAGTTACAGACCGATTCAATAATCCGGAAAAGTTACCTGAATAATTCTGATCGGAAAATGTGGCGCCTCCGATTCAGACTGCTCGTCGGAAAACTGAAGGCGAAGCGATTCTCGCGTCTGAAGAGCTTTTTTAAAAAAAAAAAAAAAAACTCTCTAGGTTTGAAAAGTTTATTGTTTTACCGCATTTATTTGATTACATTCCCGCCTTTTATTTTTTCGCTCCAAAATTATTTTTTGCTCTTTTTCTTTTCCATCGAAATGCGTTTGACTAATTCTCTATTATTAAATCAAATAAAACAAAGTAATGTTCCAAAGTTTCTTTATATTAGTAATTACTTACATTTCTTAGAAAATAATGTTAGCAAGCATCAGTTATTCGTCAAATATATTTAATCTTTGAATATGGAGTAATAATATAAATTTAACATAATACATGAATAACTAATAATTATGATAAATTTGTGAAATATTAACAAGTAAAGAAATCGAAGTGCATGTTCCAATTAATTGAAGGTCAAATATATTTAGTCTTATACAGAAGTATCAAAAGTGCAATATATTAAATATGTTGAGACGAAGCCTCAGTATATGCAAAAATGTATATCAGAGAAAAAAATTATCGCTTTATTAATCTATCGATTATTCTGCGTACGCCACTGAATATAATCTATTTTTTGTCTAAAAGAAAATACATCATAAATAATGAGATGAACATTATCCATTTACTTTGAGAAATTGATTTATTTTTGCTCAATCATCTAATACTATATTCAAACTAGATTATCAAACTGCAGTTTTTCTTCTGTGAATCTCCACTTTGACCTCACATTTAAAGTCACCACTTTGAATAGTCAAGGTGTGCACGAGTTGATCTCAAAGTTTCTGTATACAATACAAAAAATCATCCTAGTTCATATGTCAAGCATAGAAAAATGTCGCGAGGATCTCAAACTAGTTGAAATGTGATCACTGCATGAGCAATGGCAGGAGGGGGTAAGAGACACTTTAATTAGGTTTCCCCGCGACTCATGTTCCAAAACTCAACTTCATACTCCAGAACGCGTATAACTGTTGCCTCAGCTTTTGAGATGATATCTTCTGATGACTTCTCAAGACGACGATTAGCTATGTTTTGAAGAGTATGACAATACTGACCAAAACCATCATTGCCCCATCTTTGACAAGTCTCTTTTAGTTCTTCTGGGGTTTTAGAACCATCTGATAAACAATGAGCATAACTTTCTTGATACACAGCTTCAATTGCCCAAAAGGCTGTAACAGCAACTGTATAATCTACTTCAGGACTCATTAGGCTTTCCAAAAATCTGGACAGTCAATGAAACAGAATATCTCAGTGGTAAATCAGATTAGCAATTTTGAGTATGTTCGGTACAAAGGAAAATGTTATCCTAAAGGTGTGGAGGGAAGGGCGTGGGGATGGGGGTGGGGAGGACACAATCAATGTGGAATGCTACTTGTGGAACGGAAATCATTCATAGTAACTATGACAAAAGCATAGAGATTATAGTAGCGGTACAAGAACCACTAAAACTAGACTGCTGATTACGAAAAATGTGTATGACTATACCTGCAATATTCCAGGTTAGTCTTTTGAGGAACAGTAGTGGATAACGAAACACTCCATTTAGATGCTTCGCTCTTGAACCATGATACCTCATCGTTCAGCGCAGCAATACCACCTAAAATGACCTCTATGTCTGAATCTTCATCTGACTCCTTCCAAGCTTTCAACAGTAAACTTGCTACGAAAGGAACAAAGGCTCTAACAAATATATAATCTTGTCCCTGCATCCAACATCTAATCTATAACTGATAGAAAATTTCATGTGCTTGCAAGAAGAAAGCTGAACAGAAGTACAGAACAAGGCACATACTTTAGTTGCAGAAACAAAAAAAGAGAAGATAAGTGTTACACTCGGAGAATATCGTTACAGGCTTACAGCACAATACATAATAATCAAAACCATCAAGCTCTGATTAGTTTGCGGAATATGATGTTGCAGTATCAAACACTAAAGCTGAATATGTGGCAGCAGTTACCGCTGCCTAGGAATGTATGTGGTTTGGGAATTTGGGAGTAGATATGCTGTGTAAAGTCAATTATCTTGTGCAAATTAATACAATACTAAAGCGTCATCAAGCTCCCATCAGATCTTTAAATTTATAGGCCGGAAACAATAATTATTCAGGTTAGCGGTCAGTACATTCAGTTCAGCTCCACAGTATTCACAGAAATAATCAAATAAAGATAGTTAGAACAACTCTAAGGTAGTCCACACTTAAATGCTTTAGAACAGTACATGGAGTCATTGATAGTAAGCAGCAACTTTCTCCCCTTTAACGAGAATTAGATGGTCTTCCTACTCAAACCTTTTATTTGGTAGGTAATATCGATGAAGCTATTGTGAAGGCTATGAACTTAGTAATCGTTTTGTGACTTTGTCTACTAGTGGTAAAATTGGTGTATCACCAAATCACACCCCCATTGCCACAACTGTAGATATATGGATTTCGAGAATATACCATAAATACCATATTCTTGTTTTGCTAGAATAGGCAATAACGAGATCATTGTTTTGGTAAATGACACCGGAGAAGAATAGTGACATTGATCCGCAAAAAGCTCAGCAAACTCACTACACAATTAGCATCAGATGTAACTTTTAATCTCCACAGGTCTTTTCCTCTATTATCCTTGAAAAGAATAATTCCTTCTCTAAACTTATTTTACACTATACAGTAAAACTACTGGTTGCACAAGGACAAGGGGTCAAATTTGTGAATATACTCCCCGTCCTTGGATGTCATGCTCTGACCAGACAACAGTGAAACCCCGGATAAAGAAAGTTCGGATCCAAACGTGAGGGGTGTTGATGACAATTGTTATGAACCAACTTCGGCCTAATATCGATACCTATACGGATGCCACACAACTAGTTATTGGGTCGAAAAGAAGCAGCAAAATTAGAAGGCCTTCTCAAAGATTGATTTGGGAACCCAAGCCCAATCAACAACTAATTAAAAGAACAACGGATGAGAAAGAATGGTATATGCAAATTGTTGAGAGAACTGAGTGTATGTCTCTCATCTCCTTCTAGTTATCTTCTAGAATAGTTCTCTTTGTTAGTTCCATTTTCTGTTATAACCTCGAATTTAGTGATTATAATATGTGAATTTTCTATTATGAAATCGAATTTGTTTCAACAATAATCCTACATTGGATTTGAACGAGAATCCTCTGTTCATTATATAATTTGGACAATCCTCTCTTTGAGCTCGCTTTTGAAGTGTTACTATATGAGTTAAGTCAAAGATCTAATTTGACATGGTATCAGAGAGAGAGAGAGCGGAGTATACCGCCATCCGAGCATGAGGATATGTTATATTGGGAATGATAGCCTTATCCCCATTGTAGTGTTGTTAAGTTAGCTTTTGGAGCGTGAGTTAGATCGAAGCAGAACTTAACATAGTCATAGTTCTAATTGAATCACTCAATTAACATAAACTTCATGTTAAGTACCATTAACATGTAAAAGAAGAACTTAAGTGAAGAAACATAAGAATTTTGGGGGAAAATTAAATTACCAGCCATCTTTTGAAAGCAGAGAGGTCAACGGAGCCATCGCGAATGCTAAGAGTAAATGGGTGTCTGGTAGCGGAAGTGTAGAGTTCATTGTGTTGATTTAGCCATTTTTGGATCATCGATATCTCTTTGTTACATTCTTCCATTTTCTTTTCAACTCTTTCTTCTTCTTCCTTTTGCTATGGAGCGGAGACTATTTGTTTTTTCTTTGGGAAAATAGTGGAGAAGTTGAGGCACTGTACAGAGAAACGGATATGGGCCGGGTCGGGGCAAACAACACTTGCCCTGCCTAAATGTTTTTCGAGTTGCTAGTTCAATATTATTTATTTTCAATTTTGAGATTGTGAGTTCTAATTACGAAATAAGCGAACGAGAGAGCTCTTTGCCAGTATAGTAAGAGCCACTTGATACAAATTTAGATATTTATTTATATAATCACAAAAGACAAAAAATATAAATATAAACTAAAATCAAATCAAAAAATACGTCTATGATTTGAGAAATATATGTTCATACAAATCTTATAATATTAAGAAGTAAAAGATCATATTTTACTCTTTTTCAAAAAAAAGAAAATTTTCACTCATTTTCAAAATACAAAAATTCCGTGAATTTCAAATACTAACATCTCGATACATCAAATTATATAATTCCATCAAATGATAAAGAATTTAAAAAATATGATAAGATAAATTTTATACTTCGGGTAATATTTCTGAAAAATTCAAAACGTATAATTGAAAATAATTTCTCATATCAAAAAGAACTGAGATACAAAGGTAGAACAATAAATACGACGGAAAATTTTAATACAAAGTTTAGATTATAACACAAGTCTTATAATAATTGATTTGTAAGTGAACACAAGTTCCACAATTTATTAAAAGGGACAAACAAGTAGTATAATCAACACTACTTAACACAAACACACTACTCTCTATCTATATATATAGACACACATACACACTCACGCTAGCTATACATGTACATTGATATACATTATTTTTCTACATGGTCTATACAAGGAAATAAGTCGATAACATACGATAACTATATTAAACATTGAACTATAGTACGTACCACGATACGATACAAAAACTTTTTAAGTTCCTCCAAGGTTCATATTCCAAAAATGAACAACATTGTCAAGAAATTCAAGGATTAATACTTCAATCTTCGATACGTCTTCGTCCAACGCCTCTCCTAGGGTTCGATTAGCTATGTTTTCAACTGATTCATAATATTGTTTGAAATTATCATTGCCCCATATTTTACAACCCTCTTTCATTTCATTTGGAGTATTATTTCCTCCTTCTAAACAGTGTTTAAATCCATTGTAATAAACTGATTCCACTGCCCATAAAATGGTTATTGCTTCTGTATACTTCACTTCTGGGCTTGTCAAACGTTCGAAAAAACTGTGTTATAAAATTAATTACATAAATATCATATAATTAAATTAAAAAATATATGACAAAATTAACATTTTAAAGAAGTGAATGGAACATATATAATTAACCTTTAGAAATGGTGGTCATGAATACCATTTGTACTTGTGTCATTTAGTAATAATTGCAATTTATAACATATGGTAATAATATTTGCCTAGTTAAAACAATTAGGCAATAATATAATGTTAAGCCAAATCTCTCTTACACACACATATTAAAAAATACCCACTAAACAATTCAAGGGTACCAAGTTATTGTTGGATATTAACTAAAGGTTAATAAAGTATTACTAATAGTAGTAATTAGTTAAAACTAACATATTTTGGGTGGAATAATTGTTATATTATCTCTTCCCTAACCAAATCAAAAGTTTCGAGTTTGAGACTCGAGAATGAAACAAACCCTAATTGATTCTCCCCTAACTATTACTAATGGTATAATCAGTTAGAGTAACAACATGAATTGTGATGAAACGAATGAAACAATCCTAATTGATTCTCCCCTAAGTATTACTAATGGTATAATCAGTTAAGAGTAACAATGGTGAATTGTGGTGAAATGATTGAGATCTCTTCCCTAACCAAATCAGAAGTTTCAAATTTTAAAACTCGAGAATAAAACAAAATCTATTGGAGTTGCTAGAGAAATAATATAAATATCGAATACCAGATTAAAAACGTAATTACCTAAAGTAATCAAGGAGGGGCTTGTCATCAACAACCACACTTGTCAAGGAAATATGCCACTTGGGAGCTTCTTGTTTTAACCAAGAAACCTCATCATTCATATAAGCCAAAAGAGCCAAAATAACCTCAACATCATGGCTATCAATTGACTCTTTCCAAGCTTTAACCAAAACACTAGCTGCAAATGGTACCAAAGCTGTTTTCACAAACAAATATTCCCTTTCCTGCACTTCATAATTATTTATTCAGACATTAAATTTAAAAAAAAAAGGAAAAAAATTAAAAATTAAACTAAAAAAGATTTACCAGCCATTTCTTGTAACAAGAGAAATCAATAGAACCATCATGAATAGAATAAATAAATGGATGTCTAGTAGCTGCACTATACTCTAACTTGTGTTTTCTTATCCATTTTTCTATTTGTGTTAATTGTTTTCCCTTATAATCATTATTATTTTTATCCTCCATATCTAATTTGATTAATTAATTCCTAATATGATAAGTTTTTTTTTTCCCTCTATAATTGCATATTGTTCTTGTACTAGAATTTACCCATTTTTATATACTTCATGTTGGGTGCTTTTAGTTATTAGAATTAGAAGTGTCAAGCAATAAAATAGACACGTGTTAAGGAAATTAGTGTTTCCACCGCTTTGAGAAGCCTCCAGCTTCTACTAGACATAGATTTTTATCCTTTTTTTTATTATTCGTCTTATGTTTGAAGCACATATTAAAATTTTGATTAGAGATTCAATTAAATTTGAATCACATTCTGTAAAATTCAATCGGGAATAATGCTCATGAATCTGCAACGGCAATCACTCGAATGTTCCCCTAACCCAACCCATGAATGGACCATAGGGAACGGTGGGAATATTCGTGTCTTGTTGCAAGGCTCATTTTTTGTTGTGAGTCATAAGACGAATAACTTTATCTGATCAAGGGTCGGGGCACAAGAGTCTTGATACTATCCAGGCGTAAAGAACCCCTGCAATGAGCATAACTCTCACTACTTTGAACTAAAGAATGTAAGTATTTGAGCTATTATTTTTGATTTAAACGTTCTGAAATTTGTGTATTTAAATTAAGTTATGATTTCAACATATTATTTAAAAGTTTAAATCAACATTTTCTTTGCATCTAAAGCTTGAACCTAAAATCTTTAGGTAAGGGTGAAACACTTTTATCGTGCAATTAAAATTCATTATGGTTAATGCCCATACTTTAAAACTACCACAACAATTTGTTTTAAGAGATACAAGTAAGGTGCATGAGCAACATTTTATAAGTTTTTGAGGACCAAAGTGCTTAAAGAGGTCAAAATCCTAATTTTAGCTAAATAAAAAAAAACCCTTTTTGTTTGATTCCTCTCCATTTACCTTGAACCTCTAATCAATTTTCATGGCAATTTCAATGTACATATCCCCCTCCTATTCATCACCAATCCTTCAAAATCCCTCAATCTCCAAAACCCATTTCCCTTTTTCCCCAATTCACACCCCCAAATCAAAGATTTGCCCTAAAAGAAAACACTTCATTGTTTTTGCAGCTGAAAATGGGAGCAACAATACTGAAAAGCAAGAAAATGGGTTGAAAAACAATGGTTTCAGCAATGGGAATGGAAGTAATAGTAATGGTAATGGTGATGGTGGAGGAAAACCCAGATTGAATTTGAGATGGATGGATCTTTTGTTGGATCCTGACCCGGATAATATTGTGGCAGTCGGGTTAACGGGTCTGTTAACATGGGCTAGTGTAAGTATATTGTGGCAGTTGTTTGTGATTGCTTTGGCTATTCTTCTTGCTGCTCTTAAGTACTCTTTCATTGCTGCTCTTTTAATTTTCATTCTTATTACTCTGCTTTAGCTATTTTAGTGTAAAGATAGTATTTTTGTTTTGTTTAGCTTGAAATTGGTTATATACTAAAAGTTCCTTTTTTTTTATCAGCCTCTTGTTGTTTTTATCTTTTTTGGACTGTTTTGGACTGTTTTTCCTTGAGTCGAGGTGTATCGAAAACAGCCTCTCCCTCAACCTTAGAGGTAGGTAAAGTCGGCTTACTACGCTCTACTCGTCCCAGACACCATACATCACTTTGTGGGGACTACTACATTGGGTGTGTTGTTGTTTTTCGTTTAGTTACTTGCAAGTTCTAGAACCAATCAATTGTTTAGCATAGGAAGCATTAGATAAAAGGGCAAATTAATGGATCTTTGAGAAATGAGAACTTGATGATTGGCTGAGGCGAAACGAGGATTTGAACTTTATGGGTTCTAAACTTTAGGATGACGATATTTAGTGTTAGTAACTTAAGTTTTGTACGTATTTAGTGAATTTTTTTGATAGTTTAAACTAAAACTAGTTGGTTAGATCCATACATTTGCTTCTAGTTCTTCTTATGAGTGGTTGGTGATGCCAAAATGCATACATAAATCAGGGTAAAGAGAATAGTTAGTGGTTGTTTTAGAAGACTTGAAGAGAATGCTGCAATGAGCTTCAAATAGCCATGGATTGTCTGAGTGAAATGAGAAGCTTGATTCATCCATAGATGATTACAGCTCCCAAATCGTATTTCAAATTATATAAACAAGTAATCGATTTAACTCAGCACATGGCCTAATTACGAGACATCAAGAATGGATACACTATAGGTGGTATTAAGTTTTCGTCGTGTGTAGCTGAGCTCAAGTTAGTTGGAGAAGAGACTTTGAGCTGAAAGAGATGCTACTCTGATCACCTGCATTAGGTACTAAACTGGAGAACCTGTGAGCTGCAGCAATTGTGGAAGAAACTGCATGAACTGGAGTTGCACAGTTTCTGTGTAAACAGGTTATAAGCAGTGACTACATAAATTCTTTTGATGCTTTGATCTTTGAATAATCAAAGCACTAGTGGTAGAATAGTACCCTTCCCCGGTACAGACTTGGGTTCATTTTTTCGGCTAGTGCATAACTCACCTCCACAAGGCATGGGGTAAGGGTCTATGTATATTCTACCCTCCCAAGGCACCACCTTGTAGGATAAAATTGGGTTTATCGTTGATGTTTTGACCTATTTATCTAATAGTACAATCAAGATAAAAATGAATTGGTTGCAATACACCTCTCAAAGCTAGAAAGAACTTGTCTTAATTAATATCTTTATGTCCTCAAGGCTTAGCTGGACTGTCAAAAGGTGGAGGATTTGTGGCTTAGGTCGCACGTTCAAACCCATACCACGCAAAGTGAAGCATGGTATTTAAGTGGAGACGGGTAGAGGAACTGGCTCATTATCCATCGAGCTTAGAAAGTTGTGATTGGTTCAAAGGGCGGGCCACAGAGCATTAGTTATTCCACCAAGCAAACATCGTATTAAACTCCTAAGGAAAATGCACAAACTTTCTATCAATGCAAATACAACCAATATGAAAGCAAAATTCATGTTTGTAATTCTCTGAACTCAAATGAACTTTATACAACTTGTTTTCTCTATCGTCCAAAAAACTATTAGATTTGCCTTTGTCCTGGCTCATCGTTTCTATCAAAAACTTAAGCAAAAGATATCACTCCATATGCTGCACAAATTTACTTGAGCTACCAACAACCCTTTCAGATCAATCTTATAGAGTCCAGAAAACATCCTGATACTTGTTTCAACTTCTTTAGAAATTTACTTTGACGATGAACGGGGACATGTTCGATTTCTGAAGCAGAGGCAATAAGAACAAAGTTATCTTCATTTCCAACATCTATCTCATACAACTCCGCGAAAACTTCTTTGAATTCAGCGATTACTAGCTTGTAAGATGTCTTGTCTGAAGGAATCACATTCATGATGACAACACTATCTTTGCTAAGCAATGTTCTTATAGCAAACAACGCATTTTTCTGGAAAAACGCTGAAGGAGGAGCACTCATACCCATATAAGCATCAGTCGCGTCTAAATCAACCATGATCACATCAAATTTACAGTCGAAATCATTCAAAAGCTCACCATTCTTCAAAACATAACCACGAAAACCATCACTTTCAGCTTGAGTCGCGAACTTCCCAATCATGTCTAGTGCTTCTCCAACACATAAACGTATCGAGTTACCACGTTCTAAACCGAAGTATCTCCTTGCTACTTCTAAAACAACATTATCAGCTTCAATACCCAAGACTTGGAACCCTAATTGAGAGCTTAAAAAACCAAGAAGTGCCCCTCCTCCAACACCCAAACACAGAGCTTTCGGCTTTATCCCATTTCCAATTTTCGCGTCCAAGAATGATCGGATTACTGAAAGACCCGCCACCATTGCAGTCAAATAAGGATGAACTAAAACCCCATCATCAACAATCTCAAATTCTACTTCCTCCATGTTAACAAAATCGAGGTTCTTAGGTTGAATTTTTATCTGTGTTTGTACCAAATTCGGCATTCTCTTAAACCTCAATCTCCTTCTAAACTCTCTAACACCTCTATCTTCCGATTCCAACTCCACATCTTCAATCAAAATCTCTCCAACAAACTCCCCAACACATCTATCCAACACCAAACTGCGAACCACCTCATCTTCATATCTCAAAAACGGAATTTCACATAACCCATCACCTGTTCGACAAAATGCCGATCTGGGTATCAACTCAATCAACAATGGCATCAAATTCTCTTCAACAACAGCCAAATCCGCCACACCCACCACACCATCGGTACGTAACAGGGGATTATACGAAATGGGGTTAGTCGAATTCGGTAAATTCCCAACTAAAACAAGTCGAGAGAGCTGAGGGAAGTTAAGTATGAGTTGTAGATGACCTTGTTCGGTTGAAAAATACCAATCAGCTTCCCGACCGATCGGAACCAACATTGCAGCGATTTGAACGGGTTCTGAAGGCGCCGGAGAATCAAGAACTGCAACACGGAGTTGAGAAGCATTGAAGTGACGAAGATGAAGCAATGGATTTGGGATTGTGAAGGTGATGTACCGGGACGGGACGATGGTTTTGAAGGCTGTTAGATCCAGAGCCATTATTTTTGTTCTTCTTGAAAGAGGAGGGAAAGTTCTAATAAGGTGAAAAAAATTGAAGGAAGAATGTGATGCCTTTATAGTTTATAGGAATTCGAAAATTTGAGTTTTTGAAGTTGCGGTTTTTGGCTATAAATTGTTCTAAATTTCGGAGTCTTTGAAATTTAAATTGAGTTTATACATGCATTTTACGTGAGTTTGTTTTGAATTTTAGTATACAAGGGCGGAAGTTTTTCCAAAACCTGGTTGACACGAGGAAAATATGAGTTTTTGAAAGTAAACATTTTTGGCTATGGATTGTTTTTTAGAAGTTGAAATTTGAGTTTTTTTTTTTTGAAATTATGATTTTTGGAATTTAAATTGCGTTTAAACATGGATTTGAGTCTAATTTGTTTTGAATATTTGTGAATGGGAGCGGAAGTTTACCAAAAACCTGTTTGGCACGAGAACTTGAAAATACTTTGAATATTATATTTTCAATTTTATTTTGAATTTCATAGTTAAATAGTAGATACTTGAGATAAATGTCGAAAGTTTATGACTAAATACACTAGTTTAGCCTTTCTATTATCAATAAATTTCATTTTTAATCCTTACAAGCATATTTAACTTTCGATTAATCATATTTTCTAATCAAATTTCATTGTTAGATAAGGCCTTTTTTATGTTATATTTTATTTTTTATAACAATATTATACCTATGATGAAATCAATAAAAATATCAACAACCGTCTTTATAACAAGATGTTCATTGTAAAATTATCCCTTCACAACAATTATCTTTCTTTTTGGAGGGGGTGTTTCTTCCAAACAAGGGGCCGCACCTTTTGATAACTCGGTATATTGACGATATGACCATTAACTAAAATATGTCGATGATTAACTAATTATAAGGTAAAAAAGACTTTTAACTCGTAGTTATTTGCTTTTCTTATAAGCTTGATAATTTATACACATTTAAATCATGTGATTGACTGTGAAGTTATTGGTTTGTGTTTTCACATGATTAATTATATTTCTAATATATTCAGAGATATGAATGATATTGTTTAGTTGTTTGGCATTTTTATCATTCAATTAGTTTTGAGGAATTATTAGTACTTTGTTGTGATATTTGTTTTAACCTACCTAGCACACTTTATGACATCAGTACTCAAACTGATTTTATTTTTTTTTGGTTTAAAGGGTCTTTTTTGGATCAATCAAATCTTTTAAATTTGGTAGATAATGGACTTGTTTTTCTATCCTTCTCTTCTTATATATGGGCTTTGAGGCGTATGAAGTGGAGCTTGAATTTGCGACATAAGTCACATATCTTTCACATTTTGTCACTCGAGCTAGGCTTTAGGGGTAGACATATTCCTTTTTAACAAGATTAAAAAGGAAAATAGAACAATAAATTGAAACAAATGAAAGTATAATTACTCCCCTTGTCTTTCTTTACATATTACATTTTGATTTATTGAAAGACTTAATATTTATTAAGAAAATAATGATTAGTGCATTGAATTAATTAATTTGTCCATATTCATTTATAAGGTTCCAAACGTATTTACTAGTATATTTTTCAAAGGCATTAACTCATTGTTGATAAATTAAGAGTATAATAGAAAAAATAAATTTGTAAGTAGCTAATATATATATATATATAAAGTAAGATTATTTCTTTTTGATTTTTTATTTGGTGTTCGATATCTGTATTAGATGTTAACTAATTCAGATTCGCGTCAGGTAATTAAGGTTCCATTTGAGGAGAGAGAGGGGACGCTCCCTAGTCCCTATCAAGAATTTTTCATACCTAAAGTTCTATGAAACTTAAGATTAAGGGAAAAGTGACCCGTCTAATGCACCACATTCTTTGATAATTTCAAATAAAAGTTGTACAGACAAATTTTGAACTTCAAGCTAGCGATGGAGAAAATATAATACATCAAAATTTACAAATTAAATAGAAAAATAAATTTGAGATTGTGCAAATTAAAGTTTTGAATGATTTTGTTGGTTTCATAATTGTAATATTCGAATTAGCTTTCGTAAATCTCAAACTAATTCTACGCAATGGATTAGCACCAAACATTTTGCAACATTCCAAAATAGAGAGATCCCAGTCCAACTTAAATTGGGATTGCTATGTTCAAATAATTTACTCTTACTACCGTGTAATAAATCATATAATTATCTATATGGAATTAATTTTGAAAATAATACTACAAAATGAAATTCCTTTTACATAGATTTCATTTTTAAAAAAATTCGGAATAACCTGCAATCATTACAATTTCTATTATAGTCTTTGTTCTTTGGATGAACACTTTGTGTGTGCTGGTAAAACCCCCGATATGTATATATGAGATGTAAAACGTACTAAACAAGCTTATGTGACAGACTCGACTCAATCGATCGATCCAAAATCATCTATCAACAACTCTAAGAACCAACTGAGTCATCCTGAAGGACATGTAAATAATTAATCGATTTTTAGGATCGACATATTGTGTTTGTCACCATAATTGTTTTTCAGTTTGTATCGACTGCCTGCCATCGATATTTTCTGTCGATAATGAGCCCCTTTTTTTGAAGTAGTGGTTGAAGTTTAAAATTTGTAGAAAAAAAAAGACAAATAAACCTTTCTTTTTCATTACTATAAATATAAATAACAAACTAATTATAAATTAGAAATAAATGAGAAAGAACTTTAGGCTGGCAACTAACAACAAATTAAGCAGCTTGAATGAGATCACAAAAATACCATAAAGTTCAACCATAAACCTTACTCTTTTTTTATTAATGAAAAATATATATATATAAAAAAAATAGTATACTAACAACCTCTTGAACTCGCTAGTAAATTTTGTTTAGACAATCGAACTATGACATGTTCTAACTAAACATCAGAACACATGCTAAAACATTTTTATTAGACATTTCCAATGTAAAATTTAGAAAAATTGTACGCACACGTTTCAATCGTCCATTATGTTTAGATAAGTTAATTATTTAAAATATATCATCTTTTTTAATTAATATACATTAGACTAATAAATCGTAAAGAATGAGGCATATTTTAGACTTACATATCAATATAATCATACGCACAAACACATGAAATTTGAAAACACTTTTTAAATATATAATCTAAACTCAAAATATGAACATTTTATAACGTGTTTGAATGTCCAATAAAAATTTATTATAATTGAAGTATTTAAATAAAATTTACTAGTAGATTTAAGAAGTTGTCAATTATATATTCTAATGTACAATGTTTTTTTAAAAAAAAATAAAGGAAAAAGAAATGAAATAAATCTTTCCCAAAAATGGGTAAGTTCACTGATATTGGTTCGAAAATAAATTTGTTCTAATTAGTGGAAATTTTAGTTGAACTTATCAATCATATTAATTCTTACACTTAATTAATTTATAAAATAACATACCAATATTTGATAAATCAAGAATAGTGATAGATACATTGTATAGAGAAAAGGCAAACGAGTACAATCTTAACATGCATATTAATGCTAGTTAATAAGGTATTTTGAGGGTTTCTTTTTTTTTCATATTTAGAACCATGTTAATTCTAGTTTTGTACTTTGAGAAGTTTTTATAATGTACATGTTTATCCTATACACCTAATTTTAATATATTAGACCCTAAACTTGAATTCAAATTTTAACTTTGACCTTTTAACTTTCATAATGTACAAACAGACACTTTAACAATCCAACTTTTAAATAAATAAACAAATGAGTCCTACATGACATAATACATGTAAGACACCATGTAGGACAAAAAAATAACATGTAGGATGACATCCAAGACATGTATGTTTGTTTATTTAACTTTATACAAGTTTAAGTGTCTACTTGTGCACATCCGAAGTTGAAAGACATAACTATAATTCAAAGCCAAATTAAAGCACATGTTTCCTAATTTTTTCATTTTGCGCACACGTAAAAGTTCTCCAACCACCCAATTCCTTCAAGAGATCGTTAAAGACTTGGTTTTCGTAATTCTGTATTTTTTGAGGGGTGCGTGGTTTTATTTTTATTTTTTTGTCGAGTTAAATTTTGAAAATCGCAACTGGGTCATAGGATTTTGAAATCCAATATTGAAGTCAGGAATTTGAAAAATACCTAAAATCTATTTTCATCTCAAATTATTCGTAAAAATCCAAAAAGATAACACTAATACAATTTTTAAATATACTTAAAATTTTCACGATCAAACATTATTTTTAATTCCATTTCAATTGAAATTTTAATGACTAGTGAGTAAGGTAGTTGGATTGATACCGACCCCTCTCTCTAAATGATCCACCATTTTCATTCTCGTCTTTTTCAACTATCTGTACTTCTTCTACTATTTAACAACTTAGGTATCCTCCATCACAACTTGACTACTTTGTCGCTTCATTTAAGCTCATCTTTATGTTACGTAAAATTACGCACGATCAAAGATTTGCCATCTACTAGATTTTTATTGATATTATTGAATGATGTATAATTCTTGTCAAGGGTGTGGTTGTAAAGTTTTTATATCAAAATTCAACTAAATTCAATATTTATAATATGAAAAATACAATTACGCGTAAACATAAAAAAAAGTCACAATATATATAAAATTCTGTACTTAGGTCTGCATGTGTTTGATGTACTTGTTAAATAATAGGAATTTGAGTATATGCTCTATTTTAATAACAACTTCATGAATATTCTTTTTACTTTTACCTTAGTATTTGCATTAATGCATGCAGAGTTGCACGTACACGTTAGCTATTTTTCTTTATAACCGATAATATAAAGGCAGATATAAAAGTTCGACTTTAAATTTAATCGAACTCGATAACTTTACTAATAAGTATAAATCAAAGAGTTGATAAAGTATACTTAAACTTTATTCATATTTTAAAAAACGTAGAGAATTTATTTTCAAAAAAATTTCAACAGACTAAATAGTGAAAAAAGAGATAATAATAACATGAGCTAAATCTAATAATTTTAGCTTGAACGATACATTTATGTTTAACCACTTGCATCTTGTTTAAATGATTGTTACCCATTGTACTATTGTATTGCATTGTTAAAGTATTATGTTTGTTTTCATTGTTATTAAATTTTAATGTATCATATTGTTTAAATTCATAATTAAATAATAACGAAAAATCTTTGTAATGACTGATTTTAGCGTGAACTCATCGTTATCATAATAGTTTCTTCTTCATCTTATCTTTAATCATTATTTAATATAAACTTATTTTAGTCTTTAGCATACCTTTATACGATAACTATATTCCTAAATTATTGACGTGTGACATCATATATACAATAAAAAACAATATAATCTATTCAAATATTATATTTATTTAAAATAACACGATAAATTATATTATGATTATATTTATCATACGTATGAACTATCCAAACATAGTGTTGAAAATCAAGCTAGCAATCATTTCAATTCGCTATTATTTATGGAATTAAAATTTTGATTCCGTCACCGATATTCAAAAACTTTTCTCTTTCATTTCTTTAATTTAACAACATTTATTATCTCCCACCTGTAATTTCAAGCTTTTTTCTATTCTTATACTCCTAAATTCCTCTTATGTTTTTGCAGTCTCATTTTTTTCAACCAAACAACAATGGAGCCTTTCATTTTCACAATTTCCGCCATTTTCCTCTCACTTTTCATCTTCATATTAACCCTAAAACCCAAATCCAAAACCCTAAATCTACCTCCCGGACCTCCAGGTTGGCCGGTCGTCGGAAACCTCTTTCAAGTCGCCGGCTCCGGTAAGCAGTTTTTCCAATACATTAGAGATCTCAAACCAAAATACGATTCAATTTTCACATTGAAAATGGGTTCTCGAACAATGATTATAGTTACCAGCGCCGATTTAGCTCACGAAGCTTTAATCG